CCGAGACTGTCGAGGCGGCTTACGTCAGAGCATACTATACTATACATAAACTTTAGCATTGGCAAAAAGCACAAATTGCAAATTGCGAATGTTTTGCCAACGTGCACATATAATCATGCATTCACAAACGCAACCCCAATCCCAGCACCCAACGGATATAACCCCTTATATAGAACGTATAGTCATAGGAAAAGTTCAAATGTTTCACATTGCTGCTTGCTGCAAAATGTTTGTGGCGTAATGTACGCCGAGTTTGACTTTCGAACCTTTAGTGTTTGGCTTTTTGGTTGACAATGTGCGCACATTTAGCCGCGATGGCGTTGGCATAAAATGCGCAACGCTTGTAAAAACCAGAGCCCGAAATACGCAACAACCGCAGTGGCAGCAATGACGGCGGCAGCACCAACTAACAACAAAAATTCAATTACAAAGTCGCACAAACGGCTGCCAATGCCACCGAATTCGCTACAACAACACCCCCGACTACAGCAACCGCGGGTCGATTGCCACAACTCGTAGCAATGCGATGCAAGTGCAACAAAAACAACAACAGCAGCAAGAGCTTCGTGGTCTGAATGCAGTTGACGAGCTCTGACCATTCATTTCAAGCGCCGAGCTGTAAGCAGTCACGTGCGAACGTGACGAATACGCCACGTTGCGTTTTGCGACAAGTCTTGCGTGTAAATGTCTTGCACGTTGCCAAATGTTTAAGGCTACTGCCCATGCTCTATTGTTTGCAATACGATGTCTGTTGTAGAACTCTTGTAGGCTGCCTTCCTGTTATCTGAATGTACGCGTACGTACAATTTTATGTTTTGCTCCATTCACATAACGCGACCCTGAATTCCATGTGAGAGTGGCCCCAGCGATCCTCTGCAGACCCTCAAATTCAGCCACAACAATACAGAGCCACAAATGTGAAATGGTTTCCGACTGCCACGGCTATGCGTATGGGAGCAATTTTCAGACTGCATTCCAACAAACTTTTGCGGCTGCATACTAGCATTACTACACTCCACACCATACACATTCTTATACAAACTAGTCCTTGGACGACAACTGGCAATTGTGTCAAGAACGTCGAAGTCTCAATTTGTAAAACGTCAGTCAGTTTCATTCCTTGCTGAAATCAAATTTGTAATTTCTATTTCAAGCTCTTGGGCAGTGCGTTGGAAAGCAGTAGAACTTTTCTACTCAACTAAAAAAAGGTCTTTATGTTTTTAAAATCGGGTACAATATAAACAAGTAAAACAGCTAAAGTCGGGTGTCCCGACTTTGAAATACTCTGTACATATGTTTACAATAATTATAGAAAATAAAAAAAAAAAGAAAAAAAAAATTGGATCGATTTTACCTCTCTCGGTATTCGAACTCACGTAAAGGGTGTATAATTGCACATTTACATAGCAATTGCGTCTGTGTGAGTGTATGTATGACTATGCGCATCAATTCGTGTCTGTGTAAGCATTTTCGCAGTCAACTAAACAGCAACATCATCAACAGCCGCGGGCAGCGCTTGAGCAGCGCTGCAGCAGAAAATATATTTATGGCTATAACTTCTTGGTAAATCGGTCTATCAGAGTGAAACTTGGCATACGGACACATAATTACTAACTGGGGGTATTTGCAAAATTTTAGTTCGAAATTCCAAGAATTACGGGAGTTAGAGAAAATCGCATTTGCGGGGGAGAGGGGGGAGGGAGGGAAATTCCAAAATATACATTTTCTGCGTATTCATACAAGGCACCTTGGGCTAAAATTTGGTGTTCCTAGGTCTTATGGTCTCCGAGATATAGGCGATTATACGAATGGAAAATCGGGAAAACCCCCCATAGGGGGGAAGTGGGGGGGGGAAAATCAAAAAAATGAAACAAACTCGTATAGAATACACACATAACGCATCTTTGTGCAAAATTTGGTGTCTCTATCTCTTATAGTCTCTGAGATCCAGGTGTTCATACGGACGGACAGACGGACAGACAGACAGACAGGGCTAGATCGACTCGTCTTGTCACGCTGATCAAGAATATATATACTTTGTGGGGTTTGCCACGCCTCCTTCTGCCTGTTACATTTTTCAGCTCCCGCAAACCTAATATACTCTTGTACATTTCATGTACAGAGTATAAATATTGCAATTGCTATATTGGCAAATTACTTTACGTATTTAGTACAATGCCTTTGACGATAATTGGTAAAGCCATACCTGCTAGAACAACTCAAATATGAAACCTACAACAAAAGAGTAATTACAAGCAACCAAGTTATTTCATTTCATATTATTTTACATTACATTTATATGCTGACTATAGCATACCTATTTTTGCAATACACTAGTTTTAATGAAGTTGCTCAGCTGTCCTGAAATTTCAGTCCGTCTATCAGTCCGTCTATCAAGCCCGTTTGCTAATTCTTAGTTCTAATATGCTACTATTTGCCATATGGTTACCATTCGAAATATCAGGGAATCAAGAACAAACAAGCCAGCATTCATAAATACAAGTGTTATATGTACCTACGTGAAATAAAATAAAGCCTAGGTATCCACTCCTCCCATTTTTGCATGCGCTTTTCGTTGTAACCAAATTATATTATTACAATTATATAAAATGTTTCTTTGAAACACCGCAGACATTTGATGCCGTTTTTAAATCCGATTCTTGTTCAAACTAACAAAAATCACTTTACAAAAAAATGCGCATACTTTAATAATTAAATAAAGTATTTTTAATCAATCTAATTAAAACATCATGGATAAGTTTCTGAGTGTAAAAAAATGTAAAATCATTGTTAATAAGTGAAATTAAAGAGAGTTATTTAATGCAATTTAAGTTTTTAAATATTTATCAAAAAAGACTAAGACTATTCTAAGCCTTCCGAAATACACATTTTCTGCGTGTATATACACTATATATACTTGTATAATATATATAATATAATAATATGTACATAGATTATAAGAAACGGCGTTTCCGAAAATCGTCTATAGGGTGTATCAAAAAAATATAAAACTAGTACTGCGTACATACATTGGGCATTTGTGTAAAAAATTTGGTGTCTCTCTCTCAAATAGTCTCTGAAATCTAGTTAAGAATATTTATACTTTGTAGGGTATGCCACGCATACTCCTGCCAGTTACATTTTTCCCCTTCTGCAAACCTAATATTCTCATGTACATTTACTATAATGTACAGAGTAAAATAATCTGGTAAATTTACTTTCAGTCAACTGCCAAAGCAAGTGTTCAATTCACATACTTAAGTAGTTGTTAGGCATTGAATTTATGTCTATTATTTATCTACGGTCATAGCAAGCCCTCAACATATTTCACCGAAGTGGAGGCCATGTGTTAATTAAATGCCATGTTTTCCCAAGCAAGTTGAAAGCAGTTGTCCTTATTAGAAGTAGGAAAATACATATTTGCTAACAATTATTCATTTTAAGTGTTCAATGTGCAATAGCTATTCAAATTTCGCTCAATTAGAAATATTGATGAATAGTTGCAATTAAGTTAGACAACACTTAATTGTTGCAGCCACTGATTTAGGGTCAGGAATTGCTGAGAATTGTGAAATTCTTGCGTCAGTTCGCAATAAGCAACAATGGAAAACTGTCTATTTTGTGGCCAGAAATCAAATATCAATTTGTTTTAATTGACAAACGTATTCGTTCAAGTTCCCTAGCGGTTTGCCTCAACAAAAATTCTCTGAAAGTGCAATTATTGTTTATTGTGGTATGCGAATGTGTTGGTCTTGCTAATGTGTACAATACGTGTAGCCGAAATGCTTAACGTGGTCCAATTAATGAAAATTGTATTCGCGCGCCAACCTTTACATATTATGCTTGTATATGTTTGTCTGCAAATATAGATACAATAGAAAGTACACACACAAATAGACTGTGACAGCATCAGTGTAAAAATATGTTCAGTGCGTACAGAGTGAAAAATAATTCTATTCATTTTGTGTTGTTTTTATGTTTCCTTTACCGAACAATAACATTAAAGCCGCTTTGCTATATTTTTGAAGTGAAGCAAATATAATATATCCACGGTCCAATTTAAAAGCAGAATACCGAGCTAAAAATGTATTTATGTATTATAATTGCCATTACTGACTAAAATATTTGCAACAACTGGGATAATTGACAAAATAACAAAAGTTAAAGTTAACGATTATTAATATATGTTACCATTTCAAATTAATGTAAGATTTGTACAGATTTATGGTTGGAAAAAAGAATGCTACAGTCGTGCTATCTCGATAGTGAAATACAGAAGACAGAAGCAATAAGAATAAGTAGAAGAGTGAAACCCTTTCTTCAGTTTGTGGGCGTAGTACTGGAGCGAAATTTAATAGAGTATAATCTTTCTTAGAATTTACCGAACTGGATGAAATGTACAGCAAATTTAGGGAATTACATAATCATTATGTGAATATGGTTTGGTTTATGTAGCTTTGGAAATACAGGCTATATTGACAAAATTCTGTAGCTAGTGGGAAAGGGAGAAAAAAAAATAATATAAACTCCTATATACCCTTTTTAACCTACAGGAGCAGGGTATACACATATTGCCGAGTCCGGAAGTATTTTTGATTATTATTTTCAATTATGACTAGTTTCAAAGCTCTGTTATAACCTTTTATTGCGAGTAACACCTTTTGGTATTTCTAGAGTATTTGCAAAGAAAACCATTTTCTCTGCGTTATTCTTTGAATTTGCGAATTAACTCATAAACTTTATATATATATATATCCTTTGTAGGTATTTGTCAATTACAATTTGCAAGCAGACACACAGCATTAACCAATAAATGACAAAATAATAAGATATTACGTATACGTAGCGTAAAGGCATGAACAATACATGCATACAATATATATTCAAATTAATGGACCCCATGCTGTTTTTGTTTATGTGACAAACGTTACATCTTAACACGTTTAAAAATGTCTGAACTCTGTTCTCTTTCTCTCTCTATTATTTCTTTTCACATACAGGGTATCCAGCAGTGGCAACAGCGACAACAATAACGGCTACAGCTTCAGGAACAACGACGACGACAACAACAACAACGTCTTCGCTGGCATCATCAGAGTCAGCACAAACAGCGGGAGTTGGGAAGCATGCCACAAGTGAGAAATTACAACGGCATATAAATCAAAATTTAATTATGTCGCCGGTCGCCTCCTTTGCCGCCGCTTCGGCGGCCGCCTTGACAGCAGACGACGGTGAGGTCGAGGTGGAATCCTACGCGCGCACGGGCAGCCGTAGCAGTATAACAAGCTTCGACTCGAACCACTTGATCGATGACAGGCGGCAACAGCACCAACACCAGCAGCAGCACCATCAGCAGGAGCAGCAACAGCAGCAGCATCCGCATCCGCATGAGCAACAGCAGCCACACTCACGCATTCAAGCCAAAGACACCGCCGGTCCATATCCCATACCAGCACACAGGCCAGAGTCTGCGGACAATCATCTGGATGGCGGCAGTGGCGGGGTTGCTGGTACGGATAATGTGTTCGGCACGCCCATGTACTTTGGCACAGAGAACTCGACGGTGGTGACAACACAGATTGGCGCCACAGCGCACGTGCCCTGCACCGTGCATCACATTGGCGAGGGTGTGGTAAGTAAATCTACTTTCTGTTGTGGTCAGCACGTCTGCTGAATGGTTTTGTTTGAATTATTTCATCAATTGCATTTTGTTCGAAATCAATTAATCATTGTGTGGCTCAATTGTGATCCAACTTCTGAACAATAATATAAATATTTAAAAAAAAAAACGTAAAACCAGGAAAGTGAACGCTTCGTCCTTATTCACTTGCCAACTCGAGTGCACACGGTTGGCCACGTGCTGTCCTGCGCCATGGAGGGAAATTAATTAAATGTTTGCTTATCAAGTGCACTTACATAGAGTGTATATTTTCTGAGTGGCGTACATACATATGTGCGAAAAGCAATATACCAAAAACTAATATTGTACGAGAAATATTTAGCCATTTTCAACAACATGTCTGCGTTTGTCATTAGGCGTCCCTACACGAACGCACGCGCTCATTTTCTAGACAGGCATGGGAAAATAGAATAGCTTTGCCATTTGGCTGCTGGAAAACAAATTACACCTTTAGGTAATGCACACATCAACTACAAATACGTTCGGGTCCGCACACACTTACACTTAAGCATTGACATTACATGGCCCCAAGTTATATTAATTTTCCGCTTGTCTAGAGCTATTACTCATCCGCACCGTGTGTCACGTTCCACCAGTTTATGTTTGTTTGTTTGTGTGTGTGTATGTGTTTGCATTTAGCTGGATTTTGGCATCAAGAAGGCAACTGAAGTGTTTATACACTCGCACATGTCAAGCCCTGGACATGATCACAATTCATATATTTCATTACTACACACACACATATACTTATATACTTATACACGTATGTATTATGCACTTACGAGTGTGCGTATGACTGCGTCATTGGCATGGGTTTAAATCGACGATTTCATAATTGCGCTTCCAAGTGTGCTCAACTTAATAAGTAGTTAAGCACCGAAATGGTTCATTTATGTTTATGCTGGCTCCTGACATCCACCGAACTGTGGCTATATGTACAAGTATAGTACATGACCAGTCAGCCCGTAATTTACACACACGTGTAGGCGTAAAATTAAATGCCAAGGCCCAGCAGTGTCGTACAGTAACTTGTTATGCAATAACACATGCTAGCAATTATGTAATGTGAAATTAACAATGTTAATATCAGCCTACATGCCTGCGACAGAGGCTCTGAAAGTTACTGACTCAATAAAAAATAATTTCCTTTATTTTTCAGCAGTCTTACAATTCTTTTCTTTCTCGTTATGGCCATTTGTTGCACTGGAAATGCAGAGCTAGATACTCAACTTTTCAGTTTCCTTTGAATTCATCATTCTCTAATGGGGTTTTTTATAGTGCCCCTTTAATTACTGATCACCATGTTCATGTTCCAACGCTTCTTTCCCTACCCCCAATTTTTCAAGTTCAAGTGTCTTTGAAACTCCAAATACTCAGTCTTGGGATGATTCAAATACATGTTTTTGAAAAACCTTTTCTATTGCTATTATATTTATTTTACCAGACACAATTTGTTGAGGACTTAATTTAATTTCATACTGTAAATAGTGCAACTATTTGAACTATAATTGTTAGTTACAAAAAAAATAACAAATACAATAAATGAAAAACTGCAAGCTACTTAATAAAAAAAATTGAAAAGAAACCTTTTTCACCTTTCATTTTTGAAAACCTTCTGGTGATAAGGATAATTTGGTTCCATTTACAAGAGAACATTTAAAAATAGTGTAGTATATAGTTAGTATATACTTATAGCGATGCAATATAAATGTACCTCTGCAATATAGTTTGTAAGATATATCGATAAATGTAAATAATATCGAGATGAGCTCCGTTGAGCCTCATCTCTCATAGAGTCAGTATTAAACGAATGAGAAAAGGAGAACGTTTGTTTCACTCGCCATACTACAATAGTATTTATGCATAAAAATGTTTATAAAACATCCAATCAAGTTCATGCTAATATTGAACAAAAAATAATTGCAGTCAGATTCTCAGATATATCTAGCGTGCCCATTAGGAATATTTCCAAACAAATAAACTAATACGCTTATTAAAAATTTATAAGTTCTGTTTAATAGTTTTCTCTTGCATAGTACACATACGAGTATATTATATGGCACAATGCCTTGCCACGACGAAACACATATAAAGCTTTCACATTTCATAATAATATTGTTGCTTTAATTGGCCATGGCATCAGGGTCTTGCGATTGTTGTTTACATTTCATACGAAGTACACACCTCTACCAGCGACATAATAGAAATGCTTTTTCATTCCATTCCATTTCCTTGCTATTATCATACATTTGCATGTGCATTAAAATGTACCTTTGTACAAAAGCAAACATTTATATTTCCTAGAATTTATGCGCTGAGCTAAGTACTCTGTGGCAACGTTAGGTATTGCATAAGGGTTCAATGAAAATGTATTGCCGCACACTCCGTACAGCACTGTAAATTGTTCTCATATAGAAATAAATAATGCTTACTCCAGAGTTTAGCCAACAGGACCACTCCCCAATGCCACCCTTGCCTGACTATCAGCCCACCTAGCCCCCTTATCCTGTTGTCGTATTCAATCATAGCGACTTTTTCATTACACTTGAAGGGCAGGTCAACAGCATTTTTTCGCCTTTGTCTTTAGCTTTCCAAAGGTTTGACTCTTACCTCTTTTGGCTGCGGGTTTCTTTTCGCTTTCGCCCGCCTTTAGGGTTGACTAAATGTACGTACATACTCGTATTATACATTTCCGCGCTTTTTGTTGCCTTTGCCGTTACCGTTGCCGTTGCTGGTGCTATTGTCGTAAATTTATTTCAGACGACAATAAAATGCAGGAAACATTAAATAAATGAATTGCTTCCTCTATAGAGGAAAATGTCTGCGCCTTTGTTTCACCTCTTTACTGCAATTTTAATTTTAACCACACTCCCTGTTGGCAAATTTGAAAGATGTGAAGGCAAAGGCGCAGAGTAAACTCCACACAACAAAACTGTAACAAGAAATGAATGCTAGAGTTGAGCGGGCTCAAGTCTGTACCTACTCCCACAAAAATGAAAAAAATACATACATATTTAAACTAATTTAATGCAATATTAAATTCAAGTAATAAATTAATTATGAAGTGTGGAAGACCCCACAAAGTAAATATATTCTTGATCGCCATGAAAAAACTAGTCCACATTGCAAGTTGGGGCACCCGTCTTTAGTTGTTCTTGTTATCATTATTATTGCCACCATTTCTTGTTATATTTTCACACATTTATTGCTCTAGCATTTTATTTTATTTCTAATTTGATGTCGTAAATTTTCGGACTTCTTTTTTCCTCTTTTGAGCTATAATTTCTATTTAACTTACTCCAATTGGGCGATTAAGAGTATATAAGCTTAAAATTCGGTCCAGCCATAAAATACCTCAATAGAACGAAAGTTGTTGCTAATTACTTTCTTATAATGCATAATCTATTCACTTAATAGAATGGTTTTCAACACATTAAAGAAAAAGGAATAAAAAAATTCAATTTGTCAGTCTTTTAATGGATAATTTATTGTTAAATAAACAAAAAAGAATTATAAGAAGATAACTATACTTCTATAATTAAAATTATAATAATTAATAAATAAAAAGGTTGCTTCCGAGAATATAAATTAACAAAGTGGAGTTAATTTTCTTCTTCAAACTCATTTTATTTATTTTCTTTCCAATACGCATATTTGAAAATAAAGTATGATTAAGAAAACCTCCATTAGACTTACATTTAAAACACAATTTCTCACCTTTAATCAATTTCTCACTCGATTTGTCATGTTTAACACACAATAATACTTAAAGTTTAAGACCAGAAGAAAATTGCAAGCAAACTTGAACAAATTTTTAGCACATAAATCAAATGCAGACACAAAATGGCAACAGCTCTAGGCACGCCTCCAAGCACATACACACACATGTGTACAGTAGATATATTCCCATATGAACACGTCTGACTGCCAAGCCATACACACTTGCTTAATTAAAAATTACGACACATTTAACTAGACACTCGAATATGCCGGGCGGACATTAAAATATGTCATTAGAGAAATAGAGAGAATAGGAAGTGATGAGTATAGAGAGGAAGTGGGCGGAGGCAGGCAGTCATTTACAATTTTAAATGAAATAAGCAAATAGTATATAGTACGTGTGCGCTGCAGGGCACTCAACAGCTCGACTTTAAGCTGTCCTTCTCTATTTATACGAGCATCTCTCTAAGTGTGTGCAAATAAATTGAACGAAATCAGCAGCAGTCGCTGCAACTAAACGTTCTACTTACAGAGCCAAGCTGTGGGCTTCCGTAAAGTCCGCCACTGTGTGTACGAGTCTACGTATCTGTGACCTGAGCACTTAATTACTTTTTAGATAAATTGTCGTTTTTAATGTCTAGACTCGTAGATATTTTCCCAGAGCAAAGTAGCAGTAATTAAATGTGCTCACAGCATACCAAAAACTTTCGTAGCAGGCAATACGATACAGAAATTGAGGTAGAAGAAAATGTGAAAAGCTTAAACGTTGAAACCGTAAAAACTGTTCAGACACATACTCGTACATATTAGTACTACATGTATATGTATATAAATACACACACGCATACTGAGTGTGCGACTGTCGGGAATTTAGATCGTATAAATGATAGCAGGTAATTTATTTATAATTTGCTGGCGAAATTTTGTTATGCAAATTACAAAATATAATTATTTAAGATAGACGAGAAAAGGTTTCTTTTCTTTCATAACAACAAAAATAAAAACAAACAAAAAAGCACATCCTAGTCACCCACACACACAAGCTCAAATATTTTCCAAGGCTGCATAGACGGGACGAACAGTGGAGATAAAAATGCCAAAATTGGTATTTTATGAAAATTAACGCCGAAGGGTTTTCCTGGCTAACAATTGGAAGCTTCAGCCAGCTAGCGATATATCGTTAAGATAAAAAAGGTTAAACAAATATTTAAGCAGCCCCCTACTCTCTACTA